GCATCTTAATTTTGACAGGGGTACAACTTCGCCATACCGAGGGTATCTCGCTGCGAGTACACACAAGCAAGAGCGGCTGCGAATCCAAACCTTAGTGAGGATCGGCATTGCCGTTCCACTATCCTAAATCCACGTACCTATGGAGCTTTCCCCAACAAAGGCTGGCCAGTACTTCAACCGCCTGAAGCCTCACATTGTCTTTTCGACGAATACGGTGAGACACTCACACGACCACCTAAGGAGACAACGCTCAGCCGTGGAGCACTGACGACAGGGCTGTACTCCTTCAACGACCTGCGGCTTATCCACACCTGTCAATCACTGTCACATCTGGGTGCAGGGGTCCAGAGACTAAACTACGGTGTCCGCACCATCCTTGTCTTTTGCCATAATTACCACCACCGACGTCCACATTAATCCTACGTGACCTAAAACGATTGGCCGTAATCGGGTGTCCATTACCCCGCCGACCGTGAATAACAATCTTATTGTATTTACGTTTATCTTTAGCCAGCAGTTTTAAATATGATTCAACATCAACAACATTCAATACAGACTGAATCCATCCAACCTGGTCTGAACATTACCTTTACTCGGAACCAAAACCTCTGCTTTTTTTAAAAACTCCTTTCAGTTAAGTCTAATTGCTATAAACAGTCTTTCACTTACCCAGACATATCCTTTAAAGAAAAAGAAAAAGGAGGCACAGAACTGTTCAACCCTTTGAAGGTGGCCGTGAAGATATTGAAGTAATGATGTAAGTGCTTCGGCAAGAGTTACTATATGGCTTGCTAGTGGTGGGGCCTTATGATGGCAATGTTCGTCAGTGAGTTGGTCTGTCTGTAAAACAGGTCTGAGGATATTTATTTTAAAAAGATAGTCTTTTAAAATTTTAATTAATGTAATTTTTGTGCTTTTGTCCATAATTTCTCTCAGTTGTTATAACAACTGATAATACTGTTATCACTATGTACTAACTATGATTGATCACTGATTCTAAGGATAATAATTACGCCATTAGTCTCAGTTTTCTCTTCCAAATTAGTTTGGCTAACCTGCCATTATTACATTATATTTTTGTTTTCTTTTATTAAGAAATAAAAGAAACAACAGAAACAAACAGTAACAACCAGAATAATAACCATGTATTAACAAATGCATACAAAAACACCAGACAAATACAAACACAATTTTGTATTTTTTACAACAAAACAATAGAAGATGATTAAGAATATATGTCTACTTCCTTTCTAAATACAAATAAATTGAATTATTATGTGGAAAGATAAAAAAACATTCTGTATTAGAATCTCTATTTGTCAGAAGTCAATGTGTTCATCATTCATCAACTTTCCTTATTAGTGTTTAACAGATCTCAGGAGTTAACTTGATGAATATCGGTAGGAATGATGGGCAAAACTTGAAACAAACCCCAGTTATAACATTGTTATATTGTGTGCCTATGTAATGTTAAAGTAACTTGTAAAGCGCCTTTCTAGTCTTCTGACCACTCCTTTTACACCCATTCACACAGCGATGGCAAAGCCCATCGAACAGAAACTAACTAATTTCATCAATTCATTCACATCCACACACCAATACACAGCATCAGGAGAAATTTGGGGTTCAGTATCTTGCTCAAGGATACTTTGACATGCAGCGGGTATCGAACCAAAAACCTTCCGATTAGTGGACAAACCCCTCTACCTCTGAGCCATAGCTGCCCCTGTAACAATTTATGCCAAGAAAATGATAAAAAAAATCCCTTTCTTTGTATTTTTATGTACAGATTTTCTTGTAAAACAATGTTACCTGTAAGCTTAAACAAACCTATTTAACAATAATATCATGACATCCAACTGTCGATCAATCATTTACTTTAAGTGACACATAGGACACACAAAGATTTATCAGCACAGAGCATGGGGGCTGGGCTCACTGATTGCTGTACAAAAACACAACTTTATCAAGTTAATGAATGGATTGACTGAGAGCAATTTATTGATTTCTACTGCCAGTTATAGATATTTCTATCCAATTCAATTCTATTCATGTGCCACAATAATGTGATGTTTTTGACATGACATTGACATTAGACCTGACATCATATGAGCAGTTGGCAGTAATACAGCAGATCACAGCAGCTCCAGTGTGAAGTTATTGAGTCCCAGAGTGAGAGGTTGTGAAACACAGGGTTTAATTCAGTAATCTGTCTGATAGATGGCTGACTCACCCTTTGCCAGCAGTGTTTTCTAAAGGCTGCTCCAACATCTGTCAGCAGCCATAAGGCACAGACAATCCCAGCTAAAGGCTTCAGCCATTCATCAGAAAATTTTATGACTATGTCTCCCTGTGTGCTTGTGTGTTTACGAGTGTGTGACGGAGGAAGAAAAAGCTATGCACGTGTATGTAGGATCATAAATATGATACCTCATCGAGTCCAACCTGTCAGACTGGGTGATTGGTGGCACTAGGTCAGCTGGTGGATGTGCACACATGTTGTCGTGTGTGGAGAAAATAAAAAGGCTGGTGGTAGATTTTTAGCTTTGACTCTGCCCCTTTTTCGATGTCTCCAACCGGCCCAGAGGCGGCGGCAGTAGAAGTGGGAGGCATTTCTCACACCAGCCTTGCCTGAACATTTCTCATCGTAGTGCAGACGTTTTTTTGCCAGCCCAAGGGCACAGGTGGCCTTCAGATGTGGACCCATCAGTCATGAGCTATGGACCGGCGCACAGGGGATGGGGAGGAACACTGTTTCTAGGGAACATAAAGTGGGCGTGGCTTGGTATCATGAACTGTTACCCTGAGACATGAATAATGAAGCAATGTGTTATTCAGCTCTCTGGTACTGAGGACAAACACAACTGCGGTCAGAAGTAATATGACCAGGAAAGTTAAAGTGCTGGAAGGTTGCACACAGTTTGATGCCATGTCATATTTATATACACACAAATTCCTCCCCGCTCTGTATGAAAATCAGAGGTTTAGCGAGACGAAAAAAGCCCCTGTTCCACATTCAAAGGCATGGGAGGTGTCAGCGGTGATTTAGTGATGCCGGAGGTAATGAGAAAGTCATGCATTTATGGCTCCCGTAGATTGAGTTGCTGCTCTTGTGCGTACATAGCACCTTGAATGTGACAAATCTCTGTGTTCTGGCAAAGCCTTTATGTTCCGTTTAATGGGTTTTCTCTCTCTGTGTTTCTGTTGACTGCTTACCTGTACAGTTTGACACCCGCCTCCCTCTCCAGCTGAGCCCACAGCTCGTAGCACTCCTCCATCATGTGGGTGTAGAAGTCCTGCTCGTAGGCCTTGCGAATGATGCGGGTCTGGCCATGGGAGCTCCCCCGGGAGTGGGGCAGGACAAACTGGAGAAGATGAACAAAAATATATTGCTTGGTTCAAATGAAATAACTTTGATTTCGGAAAAAACATACAGCCAAATGTATGCAATTTAATTCAATTCAATTTT